TTTCTATTAAATTTAATGCAGCAATTCACCCCTCTCCTGACTCCTCTCGGGCCGAATTAATAGCAATTATTCCTCTTCTACTTGCTCTACCAACAAATGCTACTGTTAGTATCTATATTGATAACATATTATCAATTAAAAACTTAATTAATACCCCCTTCTCCAAACTCATTCAAAACAAAAATTGTTATCTTATTATTATTATTCTATATTGTATTAAACTTGCAATGATTATTTTTAAAACTTGTAGGGCTAACACTTAATATTGGTGAGATTGAAATGCTCGAAACTCAAGATAAAACTACTCGCACTAATAGTAGAACTGGAGCCCATAAACCTAAATATAGAAAACATGTTGATCACAATGCATCTATTGATATTGATGAAAGTGATTCAAACAACAATAGTAAAAGAGCTACAAAAGGAACCCGTGCCAATTACAATTCATCTATCGATTTTAATAAATGTGATACAAATTTATCAGAAAAAAATATTGGTAAGTTGTTTATCTTATTATTATTCTACATATTAAACTTGTCAGTGATGATCTTTTAAAACATGTAGGATCAGCACTTAATGTTGGTGAGATTACTAATAATAGAGTAAAAGACTGCAAACCTAAGAAAGGAAAAAATCTTGAAAGTTCAAAAAAACTTGATAAAAATCTGCAAAGTAAGTAGGTCTAAATTTTAAATAAATATTGGCATGCATATATAAGGTTCTATAAATATTATAGAGCTAGTATGATAAATCGAGATCTGGTGATTTTTATAATTCAAGGCATAATAAGTAGCTGTGCAATATTGTCAACAATCCTTATTTTGTAATAAAGATTATACAATTACTATATTCAAGATTTGTGTATAAAAAAAAAACTTAAACTTAACTATACATTTCGCTCTACTATATCACTGGTTTTACTCAATCTCAATAGATTACAAGATATCGATTTATCATATTAACACACTTGCACCGCAATATCTATGGCACTTTTATACTACCATAAATTGACAAAAAATATTGGCATATTTTTAGCTTATCCAATGCGTTCAAGTCACAAGCATAAAGTAACACAATAATTAATAATTCCTTGTCTTTTTTCAAGGAAGTATAATTTAAATAAAGAATTATAGATGTAAGTTGACAAATTTAATTAATATTTATTTATATCTACAGTAGCTATATTCTAATATATTTTTTGCATTCAAATATATATATATTTTATAATAATATCTATTTAATATATGTAGTATATATTTGCTGCAAAATTAGCTCATATTTAATATGTAAAGTTTATATATGTAAAACAAAAATAAAAATATAAATTTGCTCTGATTTCTAAATAAAATTATTCCATATTTATTACAAATTGTCTATAAAAACTATATAAATAGATGCTTATAATTGTATAAAAATTGTTATATTAATTTAATTTACAAATTTTATACAAAAATTAGATAAAAACTTTTTATTGGGATAAACAAGCATCAATCTCGATAAGTAAAATCTGATGATCAATGCAATATTTTTTACAAAGTCTTGAGTCAAGTAATTTTTCATAAATCAGCAGTTTTCATCACGTTAATTTCTTAGAATAATGATCAAGCTCTTATACAGGTTAAGTCACACCATTATTCTATGCATTTTGAGTTAGTTATCAAATTCTTTCACTATAGTCTTTTGTTATGAACTTTGGCAATCTGTAATGATCAATTCATCTGTCCTGTAAAATTTCTGGTGAAAAAAAAAAATTGATAAAACTTAGAATTGGGTTAATTATTCTTAGCGAAACATGAAAGAAATAGCTGTTTGAAGCTTTTTTAACAACAGATTACTATTGTGTCAGTATTGTCAAATTTTATTATATAAAATATCAATAGCAAATTCAAAATCAATTGCAATTGCAATTGTTCTCGCTCTTGCTCTTGAACTTGTCTTATAAAAAATGATGGATGAAAATTCTCTTTCTTGAAAATAAAATTTCCTCTCTCGGAATTACAAGAAAATTCTGAGTATAAATCCAAATTAAATCTAATCCACATACAGTAGAAAGTTGTTACAATCTAACCATATACGATAGAAAGTTGTTACAATCTAATCCATACATAACAAAATACTGTTACAATCTATTCGCAAACATCCATATCGCATGATCATATATGGCATAATGAAACAAGCTAAATTATAATATCGTTAATCAACCAACGATTAGTTGGTTAAAAAAATTTCCAATCGATTATTCAACTACTTGTCATTGTTATCGTAACGAAACTATGGAGAACAGCTTACCCAAATTGTCCCTTGAGCCTCGATTAGGCTCAGCTCCGTTTGAAGTAAACGAACCTGACGGGTCTGAAAAACACATGCCGTAGGAATAGTTCCGATTTCTTTTACTCTTAATTCTATTCAAAATCGATTTCCTATATCTACTGGGCATTCCTTTCAACAATAGTAAGCTGACTCCAAGCGAAAAACTTGAAATCCAAGTTAGAAAAATACATGAACAACGTCAATTTAAGTCACTAACAATAGATTCGTTAACTAACATTGAAAATGAGGAGGAAAAAGACATTGAGGAGAGCAAAATAGAAAAATCATTTGCTAGTAAAGGTGTAGATCTCTTAAAAATGAAAGAAACCGTTACGAACAATGTTATGTAAGCATATCTTTTTTTTGTTTCACCTATTAGTTTATACCTTTTCGTTATTAAATTTAACGATTTATATCTGATTCGTGTTTCATTACTTGCTTATTATAGTACATCCCATAATGAAGTTGCAATTGGAATTGATGTTATGAATTTGATATTAGCTGAACAAAAGACGAATTTTATTCCTAGCACTCCGTTTCCAGTTACTCCTGGTTTAATCCAACATACTTATCCTTGTTTTTCTCCACCCAGTAAAGATTTTCAAGTTCAAAGTATTAAATTGATGTTGGGAATGAAACGAATGGTTTTTATTGTTTATTTTCGCATGCACGGATTAGATTTAATTTGGATTTACACTCAGAATTTCCTTGTAATTCCGAGAGAGGGAATTTTATTTCCGAGAAAGGGAATTTTCATCCGTCATTTTTTATAAGACGAGTTCAAGAGCAAGAGCAAGAACAATTGCAATTGCAATTGATATTGAATTTGCTATTGATATTTCATATGATAAAATTTGACAATACCGACACAATAGTAAGCTGTTGTTAAAAAAGCTTCAAACAGCTATTTCTTTCATGTTTCGCTAAGAATAATTAACCCAATTTTAAGTTTTACCAATTTTTTTTTTTTTTTGCTGGAAATTTTACAGGACAGATGAATTGATAATCACAGATCGCCAAAGTTCATAACAAAAGACCATAGCGAAAGAATTTGATAACTAACTCAAATGCATAGAATAATAGTGTGACTTAACCTGTTTAAGAGCTTGATTGTCATTCTAAGAAATTAACGTGATGAAAACTGCTGATTTATGACAAATTATTTAACTCAGATTTTACTTATCAAGATTGATGCTTGTTTATATATTTCCCAACATATAACTTGCTAATTATATATTCTTAGTATATAATTTTTTGTTATATAAAATAAAAACTGCTAATAAAATAAGAAGCATTTTTAATATGTCTGTGATTTATAATTATTTTGTGATTTTTTTTATTTGAATTATTATATAATTAAAACTGCTAATAAAATAAGCATTTTTAATATGTCTGTAATTTATAATTATTTCATGATTTTTTTATTTGAAAAAAAAAATTAATAAATTTAAATAAAAAATATTTAAAGACTCATACTGATCAATTTAACGTCAAATTTTTTTATACACCCGATTTTTTTTTTTTTTTAAAAAAAAAAATGCCAGCCTCAGTTACCGTTTTATGTTATATAACGAATTATCATAAATCATTTACCAATAAAGATCTTACAATCATTGAAGCTTCAGGTATTGTAAGATCTTGAAGTTTAAATTCTCCTCTTAATATTATCTTAATTAGATTTTACCTGACTAATACAATTCAAGAATTAAGTTTACCTGAATTTGAGAATGGAGATGTAATACTTGTAACTGGAAATTTTCATATCATTGAAAATATAGATAATGATAACAAAAAATATCTAATATTAAAAGTAAGTTATAAAAAAATGCTTTTTTCCCTTAAAAATAAATAATATAATTATAAATACTTACATTATATATGTCTTAATTGATATTGTTTGTTTTAATGACATTGATCCTAATAACATACCTGCTTTTTTGATATTGCTCAATATGATAGTAGTGGCTCAAGAAGAACCAATAATTGATGAAGAAGATGTAATCATAAAGGTTTCATCTAGAAATTTTATTAATCAAGACTATATTAATATCGAGATGATGTGTTATTATTCTGTATATGCTTGACATTTGATGAATATAATTACCTCTGTAAAAAAACATTCAGTAATTTACATCAACGGAGAGCTTATAATAACTGACAATGCTAACATAGTTCACATTCGAAGTATTTCTTTCCCTGAATATCAAAATTCAATTTTATCTACTAGAGATTCGATTCATTTTACTTGGGAAACTAAAGATAAAGATAAAGATGACAAAAACAAATTGACCAATATTGCTCAAATCATCGCATCTAGATTTAAAGAAAGTATTTGTTATAAAAAAATTACTCCTACCACAAAACCATATTCTAAACCTAATTTTCATTCTATCCGTCCTAAAGTTACTGATTTATCAAATAAATTTTTAAATCAAAATTCAAATACATCTGAACAAACAACTTCCTCAGTTAATAACACTGAAAAAAAATAGATAAGTATAAATTTTCAATATTCGTATTTATTATTTTTTTTATTTAATTATTTTACCAATAGAAAAAATGTACTAAATTAATTTATCTAATTATCTATTTTTAATTATTTAAAATAACTAAAAGAAAGGATACATATTAGATTTCGATTGTCTCTATATATTTATTCTTATATATTCTTATATTTATTCTTATTATTATATTTATTTCTTATTATTATATTATCCTCTTTTTATTTTTCTAATTAAGAACGATTCTACTATATCTATTGTCATATTATTTGAATTTTTTTAGAAATAAAAAACTGTAAATAAACACTTCTTAATAAATATTATGCAAAAAATAATATGCATAAATATAATATACGATTTTTATCATCAGCTAATCACTGCGATTATGTAAAAATTACGCATACGATACTTGCTTAAATAATATAACAGCAAAATCGACATACCATCTTACTGCTATTTTTTTATTAAAAATTAAAATAATAATAATAAAGAAAAAAAAAAAAAATCCATATAAACATAAATAATGAGCATAATTATAATGTGATTTTATTATTAGCTGATCACTATAATTGAATGATCATATAATAATTATGTATACGATACTTGACATATTAAATATTACCATCTTATCACTATTTTTATTTATTAAAAATAATAATAAGAAAAGAAAAAAAAAAAATCAATTCAATACATAAATAATGTGCATAATTATAATATCGATTTTTATTATCAGCTAATCATTTTAATTAAATAATTATGTAAGAATTACACATACAATACTTGCTTGAATAACATAGCAAAATCGACTTGTTAAATTTTACTAACTTATTGCTATTTTTTATTTTATTTTATTTTTTTTTAAGGTAACCTCTATAGCCAGGGGCTTTTTATTAGATAATTAACAACGTTTACAATTATGTTGAGGATACAACTAGCCACATGTACAACTTTTGGTTGTCTATTTTAAGTGGTCCGCCTGAGTTCTACACTAGCCACCATACCTGCAATCTAACTAGAAGATTACCTATTTAAGCTCTCTGACTTTTT